CTTTAACATTGAATTTGTACGATCTTAGTCTTCTTCTTTGTGAGAGTGATGTGTGTTGCATTATGGACAGTCTTATTGATTGTTTGAATCTGATGCAGCAAGAAGAAGGTTTATTGAATCTAAACTTCAGTCATTGGACCCTCAATCTGGTGGTATTGACTCTTACCTCAAAATTTTAGAGATTGCTAAGGAAAAGAGAGACTTCCAGATAAGGTTTTTTGTTTTTCACATTTTTGTTCAATTTCTGACTCCTGAATGTATAATTGGTAGTACATGTAACACTGCCCTCTAATTTTTACTATATTAACTGCAGCAAGTATAATGTTGCTGATGGAATGAGGCGAATGTTCGATCCATTTGAAAAAGTTGCTCGTGCAAATCACAAATGCCCTTGCTGTGACAGACCTTTTTCAGAAAATGAGGAAGATGAATTTGTTAAAAAAGTAACTTATGTTTTTTGAAAATGTCCCTTAAATACAGCATAACTCATGGTTAAGCTAAAATGTTTTCAACTCCTGTGTTTTATTACAGCAAAGAGTGAAAGGGTCAAGTTCTGCTGAGCATCTGAAAGCATTGGCCGAGGCCTCTTCAAATGCTGAATTTCATTTTCAGCAACTAGACAAGCTCAGGATTGTTTATGAAGAATATGTCAAAACTGGAAAGGAGCTGATTCCTCTTGCTGAAAAGAACCTTAATCAATTAAATGAAGATCTGGATCAAAAGAACCAGGCTCTTGATGATGTAATTATCAACTGTGGTATACTATGCGTTTTTCTTGAGGATCGTATCCTTTCAAGTTAAACTAGTTAAACTTCTGCTGCTTTTCCATTTATTTTTTTATCTAGTTAAACTTAGCACGAGGGTGCTGAGAAGCTAGCTTGCACTGCTTGTGTCTGGAGACGTTGTAGACTTCTTTTTGGAGGGATGATGGGGTGGGGCTTGTTACCAGCCCAGTTCTTTACCCCCAAGCTATATTTTATTTTAAAAATGAAAAATCAAAAAATATTTTATAGTATAGTTAAGTGTTCATAAATCAGTCCAATCTAAATGTTTTCCAAAGTCTTGACACATTTTCTTTATTGCTTCCAATCCATAGATCACCTTGATATTTAGTGTTCAATGCTTATAATTTTATAATTTGAACTTTAAATATATTAAAGAATATGCATATATTATAGATTTCCGTTATAGTTCTTTTAATACAATCATCCTTTCAAAACTAGATAAAACAAATGTAGTTTGCATATACAAATAAATAATATTATATTTGAAAGAATTAGCCCCTCCCACCAGATATTCTCGTCCCACCCCTGTCTGGAGATGTATCTCTACTTCTGGAATCATGTGTTCCCTTCTTACGTTGTTTGACAACGTATAAATGACAATTGCCTACTCGAGTAATTATTAGTTTTGCATCACAAATGACGAAAGTCATGGTGGCATCTGGCAATCGCTGACACAACACATAAACACAACTAAACCTACCAGGTTATAAGTGGGTTTCGGTTGGCATGTTAGAGTAGTCAAGTTCAATCTGAATCAACACAAATGATAATCAAGTCAATATCATGTTGACTTAGGAGTGACCTTATTGAAAATTTTCTAAGTTATGGTTTCCAGGTGTTGATTCTTGTGTGAAGTGTGGCATAAGTTGTAATTTTGTTGTATTGGAATTTGTTTTTCAGATCCAAATATTTGCATCCTATTTAATTTTTTCTTTAAGTTCTTAGTTTAAAAGAATTGTTAGTATATGCGTATACTTGCTTTGCCCAAGTTTTCTCATCCAATATGACTTGCACCGTGGCACTTTGAAGGTGCATTAATTCGGTTTTGAGACAGCAAAGGCACATCGTTGCTTATATTAACAAGAAATTTAGTTCTCCCAGACTTTTACTGTGTTCTGCCACATGTTACCTGGCATTATGGCATATATTTTTCTGATTGTATGTTACGCTTTAGGTTACGTTCCTATCTTGCAACATAAACACTTGACTGAATTGTTCTGTTCTGCAGTGCTTGAACTGGGATGTTCCTCTAAAACTATATTTCATCTTTATGCCAACTTTTGTCTGCCTGCAGGTGTTGGGTGTTCTGGGTCAAGTAAAGGCTGAAAAGGATCCAGTTGATGACTTGGTAGAACCTGTTGAAAGTGCTGACAGGTTGTTCCAGGAGATTCGACTTCTGGAGAGTCAGGTAGCTGAATTGGAAAGTAAACTTGACATTCAAGCTCACAGTTTCAGATCCCTCGAAGATATCCAATCAGAGCTAAAAACGTTGGAAAGGACTAGGTCAGTACACTGTTGATACTCTTTCTGTTAAATTGGCCTGGTGAGAATCATCCCCAAAAGCTTGCCCAACTCTCATTTGTACACAATAACAGCTTAGAGACTTAGCGACATGTTTCTATCACTTCCCATTAGAACAGTCACTAATTGACATGTTTTGCTCTGTGTTCAGCTCTGTCTCTCCTTAAGCTCTCTATCCATCATATTGAAACGCACGAATCACCTGCTATCTTGTATTATGAAGAATTTCACCATGCTATGTATGTTGAATTTGTTTATCTGCTGATCATCAGGGATACCTTGACTAATGATCTGGAGAAGTTAAGATCCGACGAGTTGGATATGCAAAGGGAATTGTCAGCACTACAGTTAAGGTGGAACGGTGTAAGGGAAAAGAAAATTATGGTTGCGAACACATTATCTAATATTAAAAGAGCTGAGGAGGAGTTAGATCGACTTGCTGAAGAGAAAAGTCAAGTTGAGCTTGATTTGAAGGTAATTTGTTTGTAAAATACGTTGTCATATGGTGATACAAAAATAGAAGTAAAGAAATCCACTGTTATACATTTTTTCATATGTCACATATTGGATCAAGATCTCTTCCACTGAAAAGTGAGAGGCTGAATTCCTGTTTCGCAAAATTATGTTGTTCTTTTAATTCCCATGTACTTCAACATGATTTGTGTTGTGGTATATCCACAACCTTTCAAATTTCATCTTCTCTTCTTTGGTTCTAGCCTTGTAGGAACATAATTTTCACTTTTCATCTCCGTGGAACAAAAATAATATTTGAGTACATTTTATAGTACACTATGGTCGAATTTAGTTAGCTCAAGACAGTATGTGCGAGTCAAAAAGGAGGATGCACCACTATGGAGCTTGTGGGTTTGGGTGATTCATTTTATTAATGTGCTTCTTTCATTCGGTTTTAATGTGCGCGTGTCATTCACTTGGAGCATTAAAGTAGTTGAGAGATATGTACTCT